AATGCAAAAATAAAATAAATAAAAATTTTATTTTTACCTAATAAATCGGGCGTTACTTTTGGTGACTACTGTACAACCTTACTAGATAAAGATTTGGTATAAGAATAAATTAGTTCTAATCTAATATAATATTAAATGATAAGTTGTAATTATAATTATATAGTTTATTTAATAAAATTATAGCAAAAAAGTATCTACTTTTTAAAAAATAAAATAAAAAAAAACAAAATTTTTCTTATAAAATAAAATTAAATATTGCTATAATATAATTTTTATTTTTAAATATTATTAAAAACAATTTTATTTAATTTTTTTTTTTTTTTAAAAGTGAGATCTGTCTTCTTTTCCTTTATTAAGTTTGATATATAGCAAGTAGGGTTCCTCAAATATTTGATTTAATATTTGATGTGATTTGATGCGATTTGAGTTATACTGCATAAAATATAAATTATTTAATTAAATATTCTAAAATGATGATAGTATCTATAGGTACTATCATCGTTTTAGAGTATTTAATTGAATAATTTATATTTTATGCAGTATAACTCAAATCGCATCAAATCAGATCAAATATCAAATCAAATATTTGAGGAACTCTAATGGCAAGTATAAATTAATAATACATGAGATATATTAACTATACTATATAAAAGTTGGAGATTAAAGCTAAGTTTACTTCCGACCTAAGCTTTATTAATAAAGGTCACAGATCTCTTTAGATTATGTATACTAAACTCAATAGAAATATGTTTTGAGCTATAAAGTTATTTGTCTATAGTGAGAATCTGTATTGGATTTGGTCATTTTGTATATCCTGATATGTGAATTTTGTTGGTATAACAAGATTGGGTAATGGTATCATCTTATTGTAATTCTTCAACTCAACTCTGCTTGGTACCCATACTTTTTTATGTATCACTTTTATGATTTTGTGATATAATGTTGGATGAGCTTTATACTTATATTGAGACTAAGAGTGGATAGTAAGGTTTCTTCTGTTATAAGTCCAAGGGGAAGAAGATCTTGGTTTGTAATATAGGTAGTGACAAAGTTGTTAGTAAAGGAGGTTATGTCAGTTTGTGGTAGGTTGTGTTTGTAGAGAATTTTCTTTAAAATTTTCTGATTGTTAGTTTAAGTTGGTAGTTGTTGCTGGGGCAGGATAGACAGTATGTATTATCATCCCAGTTTTGGCCACATCTTGTGCATAGTAGATTTGTGTATTTCTTTAGATTTCTATAATACAGGTTAAGTAGAGTAGGTAATTCTTGTATTAGTAATTTGATTTTGAATAACTTTAATTGTGAATGGGCTGAGTTTATTATTCTTGCAAGTGGAGCGCTTTTATATGATATTTGCTTGTATATCAATTCTCAATTAATTTTGTTTTGTTGTGTATTTCATTTGCTTATTCTTGGTTGACAATACCATCTAGCAAGGTTTCTTGCATTAATTAAGTGTCAGACCAGACGTCATGAAGTATAAGCTATCATATAGTTTTTAAATTGAAGGATGTGTATTTAATTCATAAAGCCTGAGTATTTAGTTCAGTTGTTTGGGGTGGCATGGTATGATCAATAGGAGAAGCGGCCATTTCGGTATTGTATTTTATATCGATACAGATATTCTTAGTTGCAATGATAGCTTTAGTAGCTAGTAGTAGGGTCCAGAGGTTGTGTGTATGAATTTGTTGAATATGGTGTATTGAAGTATT